TATACCTCTATACTACCCTCTATACTACCCTCTATACTCCCCTCTATACTCCCCTCTATATTCCCCTCTATACTCCCCTCTAACTCCCCTCTATACTCCCCTCTATACTCTCCTTTATACTCCCTCTATACTCCCTTTATACTCCTCTGACATCTGTCCGAATGTTATCAATTAATCAATAAACATGCTTAATATCATGTTCTTATTTTATAACATATCTTTTATTCTTCACGATATCAAGTATAGGAGTCAAAACAAGATCAGCTTAAACTAAATTATAAAAAAATATTTAACTAAGAGAAATTGTGTAAATGTCAATGTAGTTTGAATGAACCAATCAAAAAAAGGTTTACTATGAGGACAGCCTGTATTAAAAGTCCGTGTTTGTTTTGATTTTGATTAAGTTTACATTTATTTAGTTCAACATTTTTAGATTGAAATAATTGAACATCGCCCTCCCACCATCTATTGTTGAAGTTTTCTAAAAAATGTTTTAAGGCCCCCAGCTGTGAAATCGGATTCAATCTCTGCTAATTTAATTTAAATATACTTTCGAATAATATGAATCAAATCCGAATTTTTCCGTGAGAGCCTAAAAACTGTGGAATAGGAAGACGAGATTAAAACAATAATTAAAATTTACAAAAGAAATATTTATACCAATAACTTATTAAATCATTTGTTAAATGAAATTGGTCTGTTTACACTGCTGGCTCTAGTGTTCATTGGACCATTCAAAGTGTAAACTTAAGTCTAAATGTCGAGTTTTATGAATCTCCCTAGCTGTATGTATTGTAATTTCTGATTGATCAGTTTTATGAATCTCTCGGCCATTCTAAAAAGTCTAATATTCGGTCAATTCATTAACGAAATTAACACAGTGTTCTAGGCTAAACGCGCGTTAATATCTCTAACTATCTATCTATGTTGCCCCCACCCCACCAGCAAAATGTGGGCATACGCTTCTCTAGCGCGTCACAATAACTAGACTAAATGTGACTCAAACCGAATATTTCCTGACATAAGTTGGTCCAGGTTGGGGAGAGGGAGGGGGGAGGGGGAAGGGTCCACCGGTCCAGAGAGAGGAGATGGGGGTCTTGGATATTTAAACAACCCAAGAAAAGAAGAATCTTCAGTTAAAAGGTAAACATGGAGAAGAAACGTAAGTTTCCATTTTTTAAATATTTTTTAAATAAAAATGTTGAAAACTTATACTGATTAAAATTTTTTTCATAGCATTGATAATGATCATTTCTGTAAAAAAAAATTAACTATGAAAACAATGATATACAAAATATTAATAACAATGATAAAAGCAACGATAATAACAATTATAACAATAATAAAAATAATCATAACAATGATAAGAATAGGAATGAAAAATATAATTATTTTGAAATTGTGAAACATATTTTAAAGCTCAACAAATCAAAAAATTCACTTTTCTATTATTACTATAAGAAAAATAGTAATATATGATAATGATAATAATTAATAATTAATTTTTAGTGTTATATACCCTGTTAACAACGGTATACCATTTATGAAAGCAAAAATGACAAAGATGGTTTTCTCAACAAAAATTGATAATGTTCAATTGTGGTTTCTCTGTAAAAGTTGCTTGCGGCGACTTTTGAGGCAGGAAGTCATAAAATTGCCAGAATTCAACAAAAACATATCTTTCTCATTTTTGCTTATATATATAAAAGTTACCATTGTGAATCCGGCAAGAAACTCTTTGATTGAAATCACTTTAAGATTATATTTATAACATAGATAATTTAAATCATCTACAGGGTGTACCAAAACACATAGGAATTGAAAGACGACTTGAAAGTCGTCTTTGATTTCTGATATTTAATGCACGGCAAATAAAGTATAAAAACGAGGCTGTACGTCTGACGAGCTTCTCATAAAGTTGTCTATATATATATATACCTTATGAATTGAAGAAGATATTAGATGCTAAGACAATTTAAATTTATTAAATAAATTTTACAAAGGAATAGAGTCTTTGTCACAAACTCTGATCTTATAATCCCAATATCTTAGCCACCCAATGTCGTAGACCTTAGATGTTTCAAATTAAAAATTCTGTCAGATCTAATAATCTAAGTTTGAAATATCAAATGTTTACGCTATCAGATAACACAGATATCGGGTTTAGAACATTGGAGTCTGTGACAAAGACTCGATTCCTGCAATATCTCCGTTAATTTTGAAATACAAAAGTTGTAGACCACATATTGAAAATATCAAGACCAATATTTGTGTTCATGAAAAAAGTCACATAGATCGAAAACGATATAAAACTCGTCACTTAATTTCCATTTTTATTGCAACACCCTGTATAAAATAAAACAAGACATTCGTATATATTTTCCCTAGAGCCGGCCAAACGGCTGGATAGAATGGGCTGAAATTTTTTGGTTACACTCATGGGTAGCCTGGGGGTGACAAAGGTTTAATATTTGATTCTTTTTTTCAAAACTTTTTCTCAAATTTTTTTTCAAATTTTTTTTTCAACATTTTTTTCCAGGAGCAAGGCCGGGCCCTTCAGTGAGTATGATGAGAAAAAAAATAAAACTGAACATATTTATTTAGATGAAACATTAGAGAATCTGAAAAAAGAATCTGAAGTAGATGAACATAAAATATCTTTAGAAGAATTATACAGGTGATTTTTTTCTCATTGTTTTCTCAAAAGATTCTGTAGAGTGGCTGCATGCTAGATTCACAACGGTGCCCTTTATTTCTTTGATTAAGGATTACAGAGGCATTCTAATTTTTCTAATTCAAAATTTACTGTCGCCAGAAAACATTAGACGTAATATATTCCTTAGCAATGACAATCTAAAAAATATAGTCTTTGAAATTTATAATTTTGCAACTATGTACACGCGTACATTAAAATTAATACACTCCTAAGTACTGGCCAGAACTTATTTATTTTTGTCTTCAACTTAGAGCACTCTATTTTTAGTTAGAAAAATAAGGATACCGTTCTTAATCGGGCACGCTGCGCTAAAATTTGAGGGTCAGATTGAATCAGGATGAAATTTGTTTAAAATGTTTTTGTGTATAGGTAATTTACAGCTTATAGTGTTTACAATGATATCATCTATAAATAAAGAAAATTTTGATTTAAAAAATAACTTGTAAAAAAATATATATGTTTTGCTTTTCAATGGGTGCCTGAATGTTTGTCTGTCCGTTTCTGTCAAAACGGCTAAACCGATCGGGTCAAAATTGTGTGTGGGACCACAGGGAAGGTTTATGGAAGAAAATTGGAAAATTGGAAGGAAAAATCCTGGAAAAATAGTTCGAATTTTTTGTTGTTGATGCGTCCATTCGAAAAGGAAAATCAGCCAAAATTTTAAAATGTTACCTGTCACCCTAATCTTGCTTTAAGGGAATTTACCATTTTTATACTGTCGACTTGCTGTTTATTTCATTTGTATAAAAAAAAGGGGAATATGGGTCTACGGACTCGTTTGTAATGGGATTTTCAAGATTGAGACCATTTTTAAAATCTACGTACAATTTTCTGAGCCCAGGTTCAGACTCGTAGATCAAAAATAAAAATTTTATGGGCTTCTAAAGTTTTCAACTGGAGTGAGTAAATTTGGTAAAAATAAAGATAATTACCCCTTGCACAATTTTGTATACGGGTCTACAGACCTGTTTGTAATCGGATTTATAAGATTGAGACCATTTTTAATACCTTCGTATACAATTTCCGATTTAGTGAGCTCAATTTTAGGCTTGTAGATTTAAAAATTTGACTTAGATTGTCTCAATCTTGAAAATCCTATTACAAACGAGTCTGTCGAGTGTAGACCATCATTCCCCGTTTTTTTAAGACCAGAGACACCTTGTACATAAAATAGTAATCTTTGTTATAAAATCTGATCATAACTCAGAAACCCCTTGACCGATTTGCTTAAATTTTGACTGGGGAACTTGGTAGAACAACAGGAATGTTCTTAGATTGGTTTAAAAATTATAAGTGTTACTTTAGTAACTAATCCATAATATTTGTAATATCTGTGATATCTGTTTTTAGGAGATTTAATACTGACCCTAAGAAAGGACTGACAAGTGAACAAGCCAAAGAATACCTTGCCCGAGACGGCCCAAACGCTTTATCCCCTCCATACCAAACCCCCGAATGGATAAAGTTCATGAAAATAATGTTTGGTGGATTTGCCCTGTTGCTCTGGGCAGGATCAATTCTCTGTTTTATTGCCTATGCTGTTCAGGTAAATTATTTCTATAAGATTTAAAATTCTATCTACAGTTCAAGATCACAGTTTGATGTAATAGGATTCTATCAAGGCTTATACAATACATTCTTTCTAAGTGTTACAAGATTCGATCAATGTTTTAAAAGGGTCTATAAAAGGGTCTATATAAGGGTCTATAAAAGGGTCTATATAAGGATCTATAAAAGGGTCTATATAAGGATCTATAAAAGGATCTATAAAAGGGTCTATATAAGGGTCTATATAAGGGTCTATAAAAGGGTCTATAAAAGGGTCTATAAAAGGGTCTATAGGGTCTATATGAGGGTCTATAAAAGGGTCTATATAAGGGTCTATATAAGGGTCTATATAAGGGTTTATATAAGGGTCTATATGAGGGTCTATAAAAGGGTCTATATAAGGGTCTATATAAGGATCTATATAAGGGTCTATATAAGGGTCTATAAAAGGGTCTATATAAGGGTCTATGTAAGGGTCTATATAAGGGTCTATATAAGGGTCTATATAAGGGTCTATAAAAGGGTCTATATAAGGGTCCATATAAGGGTCTATAAAAGGGTCTATATAAGGGTCTATGAAAGGGTCTATATAAGGGTCTATATAAGGGTCTATATAATTGTCTATAAAAGGGTCTGTATAAGGGTCTATATAAGGGTCTATAAAAGGGTTTATAAAAGGGTCTATAAAAAGGTCTATATAAGGGTCTATATAAGGGTCTATAAAAGGGTCTATAAAAGGGTCTATAAAAGGGTCTATATAAGGGTCTATATAAGGATCTATATAAGGGTCTATATAAAGGTCTATAAAAGGGTCTATATAAAAAGTTCTATAAAAGGGTCTATATAAGGGTCAATATAAGGGTCTATTTAAAGGTCTATAAAATGGTCTATATAAAAGGGTCTATAAAAGGGTCTATGAAAGGGTCTATGAAAGGGTCTATGAAAGGGTCTATATAAGAATCTATAAAGGGTCTATATAAGAGTCTATTAAAGGGTCTATAAAACAGTCTATAAAAGGGTCTATAAAACAGTCTGTTAAAGGGTCTATATAAGGGTCTTTAAAAGGATCTATGTAAGGGTCTATATAAAGGTCTATATAAGGGTCTATAAAAGGGTCTATAAAAGGGTCTATATAAGGGTCTATATAAGGGTCTATATAAAGGTCTACATAAAGGTCTATATAAGGGTCTATAAAAGTGTCTATAAAAGGGTCTATATAAAGGTCTATATAAGGGTCTATATAAGGGTCTATAAAAGGGTCTATAAAAGGGTCTATATAAAAAGTACTATAAAAGGGTCTATGTAAGGGTCAATATAAGGGTCTATTTAAAGGTCTATAAAATGGTCTATATAAAAGGGTATATAAAAGGGTCTATGAAAGGGTCTATATAAGAATCTATAAAAGGGTCTATAAAACAGTCTATAAAGGGGTCTATAAAACAGTCTATTAAAGGGTCTATATAAGGGTCTTTAAAAGGGTCTATATAAGGGTCTATAAAAGTTTTGAGATTTTATACAAAAAATATTGTTTTACCGTCATTTTAACTGCAATAAGATGCAAAAGTGCACATCTAGCCAATATTTTTCAGAACAAAGGAATTGAGTTTTTGCCACAAACTTAAATTTTCTAATCCTAAATCTTTGCAACCTGAGCTGAAAACTTTAGAATAAAATATCCTTAGAGAGTACCTCCCGTTTCTGTATATTAATCTTAAAGGTCGCATAAAATTTTAAATTTATCGACTTCATATACGCGACTCTGATTGGTTGAATTTTATACAATTTTCAGGATACAAGTACAAGATAAGGTTAGTCTCGAGATTAAAAAACAGAGAGAATCAAGCATTAATCTCGAAATCCACCATTCTAAAGTTTTCAGCTCAGATGGTACAAATTTTTGATATTTTAAAGAAAGACTATTTTATTTTACAAAATTCAAAGCTTGCAGTATCAAAGAACTACGACATCGTGTTGCACAGATATTGGGATAAAAAAATCTGAGTTTGTGGCAAAGACTCAGTTTCTTTGTGAGGGTCAAACCTCTTCATTTTCAATAGGTTGAACACATCAGTTTGATGATCATTATAGAATTATTAACATCTGCTTAATGCAGGCTGGAACCCTTGAAGATCCGCCAGATGATAACTTATACCTTGGTATAGTTTTGGCTGTGGTAGTTATAGTTACAGGTAAAACTGATCACAATATGAAGTTTCAAGTTTTGTGTTTTTCTTATTTATTCAATTCTAAACCATTTGGTCTTTTTCTAGGAGTATTTTCCTACTATCAAGAAAGCAAGTCATCTTCTATCATGGACTCATTTGCAAGTTTGGTTCCTCAGTATGCATTAGCGTACAGGTAGAAATTCAAACCATAGCTCTGCATGCTGGCATTAAGAATAATTTTTTTTTACTGTCAGAGATGGAGAAAAAGTAACTATTAAAGCTGACGAGCTGGTGGTTGGTGATATTGTTGAAATTAAATTTGGGGACAGGGTGCCTGCTGATATACGGGTTCTAGAAGCAAGGTCTTTTAAGGTAACAGAAAAAGCTGCTGCAATTTGCCTAGAGAATATTTCAACATTGAGTTTACGACCTTTTATCTAATTGAAATTGTTTATTAGGTTGACAATTCCTCCTTAACTGGTGAATCTGAACCACAGTTAAGAACTCCAGAATTCACAAATGAGAATCCCCTCGAAACCAAGAATCTGGCGTTTTTTTCAACCAATGCCATCGAGGGAACTTGCAAAGGCTGTGTTGTAAGTTGTGGAGATAAAACTGTAATGGGAAGAATTGCTGGGTTAGCGTCTGGACTAGAAAGCGGAGAAACTCCTATTGCAAAAGAAATTCACGACTTTATAAACATCATCACTAGTATTGCAGTCTTCCTTGGAGTTCTCTTCTTCATCATTGCCTTTTGCATTGGATATAATTGGCTTGATGCTGTCATATTTTTAATAGGAATAATTGTAGCAAATGTACCTGAAGGACTCCTCGCAACTGTGACAGTATGCTTGACATTGACTGCCAAAAGAATGGCAGCTAAAAATTGTTTAGTTAAAAATTTAGAGGCTGTTGAAACACTAGGATCTACATCTGTGATTTGTTCTGATAAAACTGGAACTCTAACACAGAACAGAATGACCGTAGCACACATGTGGTTTAACAATAATATTGTTGAAGCAGACACTTCAGAGGACCAGTCTGGTAAGAGCTTTGACAAAAAAAGCAAGGGTTGGCAATACCTTGAAAGAGTTGCAATGCTTTGCAACCGAGCAGAGTTCAAGAGTGGTCAGGATACTATCCCAATTCTTTCAAGGACAGCTGATGGAGATGCTTCTGAAACTGCCCTTCTAAAATGCACTGAGCTTTCTCATGGGAATGTCTTGGCATACAGAAATAAAAATGAAAAAGTTTGCGAGGTTCCATTTAACTCCACTAACAAGTTCCAAGTATCAATTCATGAGACAGATGATAATGATACAAGATATTTACTTGTTATGAAAGGGGCTCCTGAAAGAATTATTGATTGTTGTTCCACTATCCATATTGATGGACAAGATCTTGAAATGACTGAATACTGGAAAGAAGAATTTACAACTGCCTACATGAAGCTTGGAGGTATTGGAGAGAGAGTTTTAGGGTTTTGTGACTACCGTCTGGATTCCAACAAATATCCAAGAGGATTTCCTTTTAATGCTGATGAAATTAACTTTCCAATAAAGGATCTCAGGTTTGTTGGACTCATGTCTATGATAGATCCTCCAAGAGCAGCAGTTCCTGATGCAGTTTCTAAGTGCAGGGCTGCAGGTGTGAAGGTTATTATGGTTACAGGAGATCACCCTATTACAGCCAAAGCTATTGCCAAAACTGTTGGAATCATATCTGAAGGAACATATACTGTGGAAGATATTGCAGAGAAGCTGAAGATAGATGTATCTCTAGTAAATCCCAGAGATGCCAAGGCAGCAGTGATACATGGAGGCCAGCTAAAAGATATGGACTCCGATGCTCTTGATGATGTTCTCAGAAATCACAGTGAGATAGTATTTGCAAGGACATCACCTCAACAAAAACTTCTCATTGTTGAAGGCTGTCAGCGTCTAGGCGCTATTGTTGCAGTAACCGGAGATGGTGTCAATGATTCTCCAGCTCTAAAAAAGGCTGACATTGGAGTTGCCATGGGCATTTCTGGTTCAGATGTCTCCAAACAGGCAGCTGATATGATACTTTTGGATGACAACTTTGCATCTATTGTTACAGGAGTTGAGGAGGGTCGACTTATATTTGACAACCTAAAGAAATCAATAGTATACACACTGACTTCAAACATTCCTGAAATTGCTCCTTTCCTGCTTTTTATTCTGGCTGAAATTCCACTTGCGTTAGGAACTGTCACTATCCTTTGCATAGATTTAGGAACAGATATGTTTCCTGCAATATCAGTGGCTTATGAAGAAGCTGAATCCGACATCATGAAGAGAATGCCTAGAAATCCGTTCACAGAGAAACTTGTCAATGATAAACTTATCTCTACAGCATATGGAATGATTGGGATGATTGAGGCGGCAGCAGGGTTCTTCACTTATTTCGTAATTTTAGCAGGTATTACAAATTAGATTTCTCAATATATCAGGTAACTTCTCAATCATGGTCTCAATTCAGGGTTTCAAACAAGTTTTATAATGTCAAATAAACATTTTTAAAATTTTACACTCCTTAAAAAATACAATTCTATAAAATAAAAATTTGTTCACTTGAATGGAAATGCATGAGAATTTTAAAATTTACATTTCAGAAAATGGGTTCTGGCCTTTACGATTAATCGGTATTCGAAGAAATTGGGAAGCTAAATCTATAAATGATCTGGAAGACTCTTATGGCCAGGAGTGGACATATCGGTAAGAAAGCTGAAATCATTCATATGATATTCAGTTCATATCCCCTGAAATACTTTTAAAGGGACAGACCGGCTATGTAAGGTAGTTGAACTGAGTATGCAGTGTTGTGGAAAAATTCTTTAGGATTCATGTCAGATATATAAAACTTTTAGAAGATCTGTAAATCCTGAGTTTGAGCGCAAAGTCGACGTTTAAAATCGTACTTTTAGGGGAATACGTTTTCAGAAATGTTAAAAAATTCTACAGTAAAATAATCAGTTGTTTAGGAACAAGTTGAGAAAATAAAAATTAATCTCATCGAAAATAAGTATCTTGTTCAATATTAGTTTCTATTATCTCATTATTCTGGCTTCTCATTATTCACAAAGATTTTCGAAGATTTTCTAGAATTATTATTGAAAAGACGACATTTGAAGAATTTGAAGAAATCTGCTAATAAATTCAAAGAAAATTAGTAATTTAATATATTACTGAAAACGAAATAATCGATTTTAGCATTGATCTATTGACAAATTTCTTTTGAGAAATATGTTCCTAACTATCTTATTAGATTATTAGTGTCTATTTTCTCATTGTTCACAAAGATTTTCTGCAGATTTTCTGGAATTATTATTGAAAAGTTAATATTGAGAAATATGTTGCTAACCATTTAATTATTTTAATGTATAATTTTCACTTTATTTTCGTCGTCGTTATTTCTTAATTTAAAAAACCCGATTCTAAAAACGTCTCCAACCAAATTCATGATTTTGAACGTCGACTCTGCACTCAAACTCAGTAATTATACATCGTGGAAAAGTTTCAAATGTTTCTTTAAAAAATAATTTACCTTTAAAGATAATTATTTTCTTTTTTATCATAGTCCTTCCCTCAGTATCTATATATAAATTTGGCTTGTCTGTCTGTCTGTTTGTTTGTTTGTCTGTCTGTTTGTATCCAATAAACGTCAAAACGGCTGAACCGATCGGGCCCAAATTTTTTGTGGGACATCTAGGGACCCCAGGGAAGGTTTATGAAAAATCAAAATTTCAAATATTTGTCTCCATCAAAAGTCGATCGTCATTAAATTTTTAAAAATTTTGAAAATCCGCGAATTATTTTTGTTTTGTTTTACGATGTACACAAAGAGAACATGTTCACAACTAATTTAGAAGATGGGCGCGAAGCGCCCTCTAAGGCTAGAAAGAAGGGCGCGAAGCGCCTTGAATTTCTAGTATATATAAATTTGGCTTGTCTGTTTGTCTGTTTGTCTGTCTGTTTGTATCCAATAAACGTCAAAACGGCTGAACCGATCGGGCCCAAATTTTTTGTGGGACATCTAGGGACCCCAGGGAAGGTTTATGAATGATTGAAATTTTAAAAATTTGTGATTAAGAGGTTTTTAATTTTGTAAAAAAATTTAAATTTTTGAAAATCCGCGAATTTTTTTTAAAAATCCGCAAAACTTTTGTCATCTTTGTTTTGAAATGTAAACAATTCGAACATGTTCCTAATTTAAATAGAAGATGGGCGCGAAGCGCCCTAAAAGCCTAGAAAAAAGGGCGCGAAGCGCCTTGAATTTCTAGTATATAAAAATGCAATAGGAAAATAGAAATATGAAATAAAAGTTTTAAGCTACATTTTAATTAAAAAATAGCTATTTTTTTCAAAGTTATGTTTATTATAGGGAGAGAAAGATTCTTGAGTATACCTGCCACACTTCCTTCTTTGTAGCCATTGTTGTTGTCCAGTGGGCTGATCTCATAATTCATAAAACTAGAAGCATCTCAGTTTTTCAACAGGTGAGACAGCTTTTATGATTACGTATGAGAACCATCTAATAATTAATTTTCTATAAAGGAACATAATTTCGAAAGATCCTCCATTTAAAGAGTTCCAAACAAAACTCACCCTTTCAAAGATATTTTAATTTTTCGATTTCAAAAAATAGACTAGTTGTATCAATTCTCTATCAGGGCACTTTTAAAAAGAAAACACAATTGAAAATAATCTGATTGATTTTCTTTTTTACTTTTTTCTTCTTTTTTGCTGACACAAAGGTTTAAATATTAACGTTGAGTTATAAACAGACAAACAATGATGATTCAGGCGCGCAACCAGACTATTTGTTAGGAAATATTTGGCGCGACGCGCCAAAAAAATTTCCCTTCCCTAAAACATCTTTATTATACTCAAACAATAAAAAAATCTAACCGTACCAACCGGATATTCAGTAAGTCAACCCACTTTCCCTTTCCCAGGAATTCATGAATACTGTAAAAACTGTATTTTCCATGTATTTTTCACTAGTTTAGAGGATAATGGGGTTTCGTCGGGTTCAAAAATTATTAGGTTTGACCCAATGTTTCATTTACTCTCAGACAAATTACATAAACCCTTGGGCTGCCCCCTCGGGTTTTTTCATTGAATCCCTCGAGGGTTTAATTTTCCATTGATTCTAATTTGTCTGAGAGTAAATAACATTCCTTTATAAAACATTGTAAAATATATGCAAAATATTAAATATATTAAAAGGGCCGGGATTAAATGAAAATTGTTGCATACCAAAAAACAAGCTTTTTATAAAGTAATGAATATTCTGCAGTACAAGTCGGTCTTAGGTGCGCTATAGCTCATCCCGTCTGCGTTATGCGTTTATATTAGATTGACAATTGCATTACAAAAGCATTATAAATAAGCAAACAAATGTTAAAATAATACAAAAAAAAACATTTCTTTTTTATTTAGGGGATGAAAAATTGGATAATGAATGCTGCCCTGGTGTTTGAAACTCTGTTGGCAGCCTTCCTATCCTACTGTCCTGGGATGGATATAGGATTAAAGATGTACCCCTTGAAGATAAACTGGTGGATTCCTGCTATACCCTTCTCCGTCCTTATTTTTGTTTTCGACGAAGTAAGAAAATTGTGGATACGAAAAAATCCTGGTGGCTGGATGGAGGAGGAAACGTATTTTTAAACCTATTTTTATTCTATAATTTTTATTAAGTATTATTCATTATCATTCATCATTCATCATTCCATCCTTTCTCCCTCATTTGTTGAATATTTTTATATCATGAGTCTCATCCAATATTTCACAAAGGTTTTTTTAATTTAACCAATGTTCATCCCATTCTCTGAGTTTCTTTAGAAAAAGTCTAATTTATCAATGCAAAATGTCTTATCAACGTATTCAATGTATGTAATATGTATCATGTCATAAAATGAAAATAAAGAACAATGTCATTTGATGATATGAGTTAGGTTTACAGTATAAAACACTTCATGAAAAAGGATTAAGTTCTATCTTTGTATTTGTATCCATATTCTATCTATGTACTTGTAACATATTCTCTCTTCGCTTTATATCCATATTCTCTCTTCGCTTTGTATCCATATTCTATCTATGTACTTGTATCATATTCTCTCTTCGCTTTATATCCATATTCTCTCTTCGCTTTGTATCCATATTCTATCTATGTACTTGTATCATATTCTCTCTTCGCTTTTTATCCATATTCTCTCTTCGCTTTGTATCCATATCTCTCTTCGCTTTGTATCATATTCTCTCTTCGCTTTGTATCCATATTCTCTCTTCGCTTTGTATCCATATTCTCACTTCGCTTTGTATCCACATACTCTCTTCGCTTTGTATCCATATTCTCTCTTGTATCCATATTCTCACTTCGCTTTGTATCCACATACTCTCTTCGCTTTGTATCCATATTCTCTCTTCGCTTTATATCCATATTCTCTCTTCGCATTGTATCATATTCTCTCTTCGCTTTGTATACATATTCTCTCTTCGCTTTGTATCCATATTCTCTCTTCGCTTTATATCCATATTCTCTCTTCGCTTTGTATTCATATTCTCTTTTCGCTTTGTATCCATATTTTACCTTTGTATGTGTATCCATAATCTACCTATGTACTTGTATCCATATTCAATCTATGTATTTGTATCCATATTCTATCTTTGTATGTTTATACATATTCTATCTTTGTATTTGTATCCATATTCTCTCTTCGCTTTGTATCCATATGCTATCTTTGCATTTGTATCCATATTCTCTCTTTGTATTTATGTTCATATTCTACTTTTGTACTTGTATCCAAATTTTATCTTTGTATTTATATAAAAATTCCTTATTTATATTTTATCCATGATTCTATATTTGTATTTGTATCCATATTCTTTCTTTGTACTTGTATCCATATTCTATCGTTGTATTTGTATCCATATTTTATCTTTGTATGTGTATCTCTATTCTATTTTTGTACTTGTATCTATACTATATCTCTGTATGTGTATCCAAATTCTATCTTTGTATGTCTATCCATATTTTACCTTTGTATTTGTATCCATGTTCTATCTTTGTATGTGTATACATATGCTTTCTTTGTATTTGTATCCATATTCTATCTTTGTATTTGCATCCATATTCTATCTTTGTATGTGTATCAATATTTTACCTTTGCATTTGTATCCGTTTTCTACCTATGTACTTGTATCCATATTCTATCTTTGTACTTGTATCCATATTCTATCTTTGTATTTGTATCCATATTTTATCTTTGTACGTGTATTTCTATTCTATTTTTGTACTTGTATCCATATTATATCTCTGTATGTGTATCCATATTCTATCTTTGTATGTCTATCCATATTTGTATGTGTATCCATATTTTACCTTTATACTTGTATCCATATTCTATCTTTGTATTTGTATCCATATTCTGCCTTTGTATTGGTATCCATATTCTATCTAGGTATTTGCAACCAGATTCTATCTTTGTATTGTACCATATTCTGCCTTTGTATTGGTATCCATATTCTATCTAGGTATTTGCAACCAGATTCTATCTTTGTATTGTACCCATATTCTATCTTTGTATTGTATCCATATTCTATCTAGGTATTTGCAACCATATTCTATCTTTGTATTGTATCCATATTCTATCTTTGTATTGTATCCATATTCTATCTAGGTATTTGCAACCATATTCTATCTTTGTATTGTATCCATATTATATCTTTGTATTGTATCCATATTCTATCTAGGTATTTGCATCAATTACAGCCTGCAGTTAGTTAGGATAAATTATGTAAGGAAGATTTGTCTGATTAATAAATAAAGTAGTTTTTATTTAATTCAGTCTAAGATCATATTTTTTAGTTGGATAATTTAAATGATCCGTTTTAATAAAACTAAAAGATTAAATGATGGATTGTATGCAAGCATTTTATGGATAAATATCGATAAGTAATTAATATAAAGTTGAAAACCTGTTGTGAGTTTTATAAATTATTCAAAACCACTTTTCAGGGGGATTAAGGGAATTTTACCTATTTTGCCAACAAAACATCCAGAGCACAACTAGTGAAAACTGGTCGAGAGAATCCATGAATGAGAATAAAGGAATTAAGTCTTTGTCACAAACTACGATTTTCTAATCTCTATATCTTTGTAATCCAATGCCGTAGACCTTAGATATTTCAAACTATGAATTCTGTTAGATGAAAAAATTGAAGTTTGAAATATCAAAGGTTTACACCATCAGGTGGAAAAAATATAGGTATTAGAAAATCAGAGTTTGTTACAAAGATTCCATTTCTTTGAATTCCCCGAAAATGTAGTTGTACACATAATATATTTAATGATTTTGAGTTTAACATATCTTGTTCATAGTTAAAGGTTTCTGCTGTAGTATTCTTTAACGTTTAAAAAAAAAATTCTCAAAAAAACTTACTTGTGCAATCATAACATTCAGTGGTTGTGGCTGAAACAAAAAGATCTATTAGATTTAAAATGTTGGTCAATTTTCCAGTTTATAAAACTAATTAAGAAAACTATTTATTTTTTTCAATTTTTAACTTCACATTTTTATTAAAAAAAGAATTATACTAGACATAATGTTTCACGTCTATCATGACGATCCTCAGTAGCTACAATTCTTTGAACAACTACAATTCCAAGATTTTTTTTATATATATATATATATTTAGATTTATTACGGTAATGCAAGCTTTTCCATAAAAATTGTAATTTCGATGAAACTTACGGAAAACACAATGATATTCAGACCAGTCTACTGGATCAAATACACCATCAGCCTAATCAGAAAATCTATATCATAATAAAGCTCTACGCCGCGCCCCTGCATATACAATACATATATATAAATATATTAGCTACAGCTGGCCAAACAGCTAGACAAGTTGGCTGAATTTTTCGTTTGTACCAAAAACAATAAAAACGACCAAAACAATTTGGACCAAGTATTTATATGTATAAAGGATGACACCACAGGACCTGACCCTCCGGGTAAGGTTTATTATAGATGGTCGGAATTGCCTCTGAAAGGTTTTGATTTACCAAAAGGATGAAAATCAACCAATGAAAATCAACCAATGAAAATCAACCAATGAAAATCAACCAATGAAAATCAACCAATGAAAATCAACCAATGAAAATCAACCAATGAAAATCAACCAATGAAAATCAACCAATGAAAATCAACCAATTAAAATCAACCAATGAAAACCAACAAATGAAAATCAACCAATGACAATCAAACAATGAAAATCAAGGAACGAAAAAAGAAAATATCTAAAATGATGTTTTATTTGTTTTGTTTTATTTCACATAAGAACATGCGCTAAAATTTAACGTACTAAATACACGGTGTTTTAATCTTAGAGATTTAGAAGGAATTGATTCTTTGCAACAAATTCAAATGTTCTAATCCCTATATATAATATAATATATATATAATATAAAATATATAATATATATATAATCCCTATATTGTTGCAACCTTATGGTTCAAACTTTCTATATTTAAAACTTAGATTAGTTTATCTAACAGAATTCAAAGTTTAAAATATCTAAGGTCTACGACATTGTATTGCAAAGATAAAATTATTAGAAAATCAGATTTTGTGGCAAAGACTCTATTCCTACAGATACTATTTCATCTTTCAAAATTCTACTATTTGAAATATCAAAGGTCTGCGACATTGTGTTGAAAATATATAGTTTGGGACACGACCTCAGTTCCTTAAGATGGTTGCATATTTTAGATTTATAACTTCTTTTCTTCTGTATGTAAAGTTTCAGTTAGAAAATAAATTTACTTTAATTCAAGAGTCTATATATATATGTATATATATACATATACACATATAATACATGTATGTATAGGTGTATATATGTATGTATATATATACATACATCCTTACATACATATATATATATATATATATACACTTATGTACATACTTTGCTTGTTTCCGTCTGTTAATCTGTTTGTATCCGATTAACGTTAAAACCACTGAACCGATTGTCCACAAAGGAATTGAGCCTTTGCCACAAACTCGGATTTTTAAAACCCAATTTCTTTAAAACCAAATGTCATAGACCTAGATATTTCAAACTATGAATTCTGGTGGATCAAACAATGTAAGTTTGAAATAAGAAAGGTATGCATCATCTAGTTGTTGAGATATAGGTATTATAAAATTGGGATTTGTGGCAAAAACTCAATTCCTTTCGAGTGAGACCATCCTTGACCTCAGGTTCCAGAGGGAAGAGTTATGGATGCTCAAAGGAATTGAGTTTTTGCAACAAACATAAATTTTCTAATCCCTATATCTTTGAAACCTGATAGTGTAAACCTTTGATATTTCAAACTTAGACTATTTAATCTACTAGAATTAATAGTTTGAAATATCAAAGGTCTAGGAAAACGGGTTGCTAAGTTATAAGAATTAGAAAATCTGAGTTTGTGGCAAAAACTCAATTCCTTTATAAAAATTTAGATTTTTGTAAAAGTTTGAAAATGCGCTAAAAGATATTATCAAAATAATTTATATTTTTACATGCTGAAGGACCCGGCGTTGCCTGTAAAAAATATTTTTTTTTAAATTCGATTTTTTTAGCCTATAACACCCCCGGCCACCCATGAGTGTCCACGCAACATATATGTGAATGTATTGTTTTATTATATAGATAGATAGAGAAGATGCAGACAGATAGAGCCAACACTCAAGGTTAGATAAAAGATAGGCGCGAAGTGCTCTAAAAAGTTTTTATAAAAAGTCAGAGAAAAGATGACAACCATTCCACGTTATAAAGGTTTATTGAATTTTTTAAAACTATTTCTTTTAAAAGATCATTTTTTCCAAACCAGCTAATGGTAATAAAAACTATTTCTTTTAAAAGATCATTATTTCCAAACCAGCTAATGGTAATACAAAATATTTCTTTACTATAGTTTTAAACAAAATAAAATAAATAGAATTTTACCCAATGGAGCTTTATTAACTTTAAAATACAAATACAATGATAAAATTCATGGACTTAAATTAAATGTTTGCTTTGATCTAAATCTTTTTAATTTGAATAATAAAGTCAGTACTCTCTGTGTATTTCTTTTCATGATGATTCTGGGTTTATCGAAAGTAATGTTAAACCAAAAGAAGACGAAGATCAAGATACAGAAGAAGAGAAAAAGATTAATAAATCTAGTCAAGGAGAAAGCACTGAAAAAATTAATGATCCTGATATAGATAAAACCGTTTATTCGGAACATGTGTACAGGAAGAAGTTCATGTGGTCAGAAAGCTATGTTAACAGGGAATCAAGGAAGGATTCAGAACCCTTGGAGCCTATAGAACCAATGGATATTGGTAAAAGAAGTGTCCGACCGTTCTTTGGACAGATAGTCGAGAATCTTGGTCCTAGACTCAATTCTAATGAAAAGAAAAGCTGGAATCTCTGTTTCAAGGTCGAAAGAAAAGGTGAATCAGTTCAAGTTTGGTCATTTGGAACAGAGCAAGAGATTACAAATCTTAACGAAAAGATTAAAATCGATTCGTATATGGTGTTCTGGGGGAACTACACCGTAAGTCCTAAAACCTCAAACAACCTCAATCCTACTTCAGACTGGGTTATTAAAATTCCCGCAAAGCTTAACTGCTTAGATACAGTGACGCTTATAGTTTCAAAAACTCAACTTTCGGCTTCAGGAGTTTCTTCAATAGATCCTACCAAGGAAAAATTCTCCTCACAATTTGAACAGGCAAAGAAGATACCTGCGAAGAAACGTAGAGAAGAGCATTCCTATGAAGATAAAAAACGAATCAAGTTGGAAAAAACTCAAAAAAAGATGACTGAGTATTTTAAAGATGATACCGAACTTGACCTTCATTACGAATCTAGCGGAAGTTCAAGACCAGAACCACCTACATCTTCTCCTATTCCACTCAGATCGTCATCAAGATCCCCACCATCATCAACACCTTCACCGAGAATTTCTCCAACTTATTCAGGAGACACACTTCCAGTAAACTCTTTTGATGATTCTGAATAATACCTATTTAAAGCTTAGTTCGTTTTTTACTCTTAATTTTAAATGTAGTTTGGAAAATTTTTTTAAAAAGTTTCTTTAAAGGACATCCCCTTTAGAAGCAATAGTGTCCAATTCTTCAATTTACTCAAGTAACTTAACTTCATGTTTTTATAAAGCTTCATTTATTTACCTGCTTATATATTCAGGAAAGATCAATTCAAACCAATTAATATTGAATTAAGTTAAGGGTCGAAATAAAAAAATGATTTACAGTATACTTCTGTTTTATCTCATAGTAATTTAATTTCAGAAAACATGATTCATTTTATAGAGCTGATATATGCTTTTATATCGGTTACCAAGTACGGGATAAGTTTTGAGCAGAAAAGCGACTTGAAGCAGTTAGATTTAGAACTGAACGCTATTTTTGAAGAAATCACCGCTAAATATATAGATGGAGAACTAATCCGGGCTATATCATCAGGTAAAGAATTTGAAGAACACTGGAAAACTTTTTATTCTCAAATGGAAGACGACATTCAAACAATGGATTATGGAACAAGAATACGTAATTGTTTAGCTATTAAATCAATCCACACCAAGACTTTATTACTAAATTGTGAACAGCAAATTATTCATACATTTGAAGATCATATAGAGGACGTGAGTCAGACTCTAATAAAACGCATAAATAACTTCCAGTATATATATTTCTTATAACTTATTACTAGAGGGTTCNAAGGTATGTAAAACCATTAGATGAGGGCAAGGGACCAACAAGGTCTACATGTACATGTGCAAATCTTCTGAAGGGTACAGGAATCTTCTCAGGGCGAATGTGAACGTGGCGGAGGACTTTACCTCGTTGGCACTGCAGGCAGGACTTGCACCAGTCCCGGACGTCGTTGGCTAATCCTCTCCAGACAAACCTTGTAGAAATAAGACGTCTGGATGCTCGAACTCCAGGGTGTGATATTCCATGTAAGGCGGAAAAAATGTTAAGTCTTTTAGAAGATTGGACCAAGGGGCGGAGAACTTTCGTCTTTGCGTCACAGAGCAGCGAACCATCTTGTACTGGAACAGTTACGAGGCCAGGCATCGTCTTCCACAATCACTTAATTAAATGCCTCTATGCGTCAATGAAAAAATACGCAGAAAATGAACTAAGCGAAATAAAAAAATCTTTATCAGAAAAGAATTTTTTTAATATTTCAAATGAAAACCTTGGAGAAAGCATTATTGATAGCTTGAAATTAGGAAAAAAATACACTCCTAAAACAAGGTATAACATAAAATCTGAGATTGCAAACTTTAATATGGAAGTAGGAAAGATTCTCGAAAACTTTCTATTGCGAGAATTCAGTCTTAAAACAAAAATAAATTCTGGTAAAGTAGCTCAATGGTTTCAGAAAACAACTAATCATGTTAATTCAAAACCACTGTATGAATTTTTAACAGTAGCTGAAACTGCTTATAAAAAAGAGTTTAAATCTTTTAAAAATCAACTGTACTTAAATAAATCCAAATTAAACAATCTCCCAAACGAAACCTTTTATAGAAAAGCATTCGAAACCAATTCAAAGTTAATTATACTTGAAGGGGATAAAAATGTCGGGTATGTTTGTATGTATCTATCTGATTTACTGAAACAGTACGAAAAAATTAATATTCAACAGCACTTTGGAAAAACTACAATAGATGAAAAATGGTACATAGAAAGTATTATAAATTTCATTAAAAACGCTTTAAATAATTTACCAAATGAGCTCAGTGCTATAATTAAAAAGTCAGACTTTAACATTAAAATAGAAAAAACCCGAGATTGGGGTACTAAGACTCCAAACCAAAAATCCTAAAATTAAAGCAAATAAACCATTCAAATGTCGAAAAACTAACGTCAAGAGGAATAAAAAGTTCTATGAATGACCCAATAAAAGTGATTCAAAAAATATTAGATAAAATTTTTAGCCATTTGCTATTTTATATTGAACAAGAATTTCACAATAAGTTTTCAACATGGTCGCCTTCTGTAAATGGAATACAAGAAGCCATCAATAGAATTAAAAAATCTAAAGTTGGAAAATGGGGATCCTCCATAGAAATAGAAGGGGACTTCACTGATCTATATTCAAACTGTAAAAAAGAGTTACTAATTGAAAGTGTAACAACTGCAGCAAAATTTGCTAAACTTCATGAAAGCTCAGTCAAATATATAGCAATGTTAATAGAATGTATCATGAATCATTCCTATTTTAAACAGCCAACAGGAACATATAAAACTCTCAATGGGTTCTCCATGGGTGATTGTTCCGCAGCCAGGGGAAGTGAATTAATTCTAAGAATTTCTGAACTTAAAATTTTCAAAAAACTGCGAAATGGAAAAAACCTCACTAATATTACAAAATATCTCAGGTTTAGAGATGATGTCTCTATACATCTAACTGGGAGCTTCAAAGAAATGATGAATGCCATCAACACAATCTGTACTGGGTATCCCAGAGAGATCATCTTCGACATGGAAACCAAAATTATCCAAGGTAAATTCCTGAATATCAGAGTTATTAACTTTCCAAAATAGATCAACCCAAAGACATCAGTTTTGAGAAAACCAAATAATAAATATAATATAACTCCGCCAAAATCAAATGTTAGTTGGAAATTTAAAAAAATGGCGGGTGTCAGCTATTTTCACACAGCAAGAACACATTGTACTGATAAAAAAGAGTTACAAAACCAATTACAAATAGTTCGTTGTATACTTGAACTCAAAGGATTCTCAAAAAATCAAGTTAAATGCATGGAACTACACAAGAAAAAGGATAAACCTCATCAAAGTAAAAAATTCATATCAACAATTAAGTACAATGAGTGCTCAAATAGGCATGTACATATTAAAAATTTTGTTAGAAATATTCCAATAAACCTGGAAAAATACTACATGCCAATGGATATCCCGGACTCTAAACTGGAACAATTTGTTTTTACCATGAAAATGCGGAAAAAACAATAAGGTACAATAGGATCTTAAATTTTAACTTTTTACTTTAATTTCTATTTTATTTTTAATTTTATTTTTTTATTTTATTTTTATCATTATTTAATTTAAGCCATGGTTTTTACATTAAGAAATTAACATAGAGATGGTTAGTTTCACAGTGATTTGGGGGTGGCATATCCAAACATGAGCACTGGACCCACGAATTGATCCCGCTAGGAAAATAACTAGCGGTCTCACTGTAATGGAGCCAGTGCTCCCTTTTTTTAGAAAAGGCATTTTTCGCACTAAAAATTTGAAACTACCTAATTTTAAACTTGTTTTTATTCAGGCAAACCGTTGGATGCGCTTCTACCTTATCACTGGGCTACTATACAATTCAAATCACTGGACAGAATTTCTTATGTTTCAATTTTTTCTTAAACTCTATTATTTTAAATTTTTGTAACGTTTCATAACTAAGAAATCCTATTTGTACACTTGGTTTTTAACCACCAGAACTTAAGGATGATCATTTTTAGGTAATTTCTTCAAAGTTTGGTTTTAAAAGAGGTTATTTCTAATCATTTTAATGAAACATAATTTGCCAGCTACTTAATTCAAACAAAGAACTGGGAGTGAATGTATAGTAGTATCCCGTCTACTAGAGATGTCAACGTTTTGATTTTTCTAGATTTTAGCTTTCGTTACGATAGTGTTCATCAAAAGTATTAACGTTTGAAACGTTACGTTGCACATTTTGAAATTTTATGGTATAGAGTAACGTTACGTAATGAATTTTCTGCACTTGAATACCTTATACAACGTTAAGCTTTAGTAAATGTTATTGAAAAAAACAGTAAGCTCCGTTACGCTTTTGCATTTGATGTTTTAAAAACTTTCCCAACGTTGCGTAAAAGCTTATGTAATATAACCACAA